GTTAGTTTCATAGGATAAATTTCTTTCCTTATTCACCAAGTTTTGTCCTTTTTGCAGCAAGGGGGCATAGGCCTGATTTTGGGCCCTCTAACAATTATCCCTGCTTATGCCAGAATCAGGGTCATCACAGACGTGCTGTTAACCTAAGTTCTGATACCTGATGAGCACAGAAAGAGTACTGTGATGAATAGTAAAGGTATTATTATCAAATTATAAACATGGACATGTGTGTGGTGACCTAATTCCTTTATGCCGTGGCATATGGAGACTTGTCACCACAAATTTCTGGGCATTACTCTGGATCCTTTCTCCCTAAGCTATTTTTGCTCAGTGAGCATGAATGAATAAAAGGAACTTTGCATCTCTGCCTCTGGGCCACTGAGATCAGGAATATTTTTATGTGAGCGCTATTCAATCTCGGATTGTCCATAGACCCCCTTGAGGCAGACTCTGGCTAGGTGTTAGATAGAATAAGTAACAGAAAGAAGGGGAGGGAAGAATTGTAAGACAGAAAAAGGATTGTAAAGTCAGCCAACCCACTTTAACTTAATGGAAGTAATTTTTTTCTCTGCCCTTTGTCCCTCTGGCCAAAATTAGCATTGTAAACCTAAGGCACAGGAAGAAACAATTAGAGTCAGAGACCCAAAGCTGGCGATCATAGCCTATCAGGGGATGCAACCAGATTCTCTTCAAAATTCCCTCTCTGGCTCTTGGCATCTGGAAGGTTGTCTTTCCTCCTGCCATCCCAGACACACACAGACATTCACCACGGGAGGAGACATAAGTCGACATTGTGATTCCCACTGGAACAGTAAGTTAGTTGGGAAGCTCATCCAGATCTGAATGTTCATACCTTCAAAGACCACACTGGGCATGTGTAATTAGATCATTGAATTCTTTGCCTGAAAAAGATGCATAAAAGCCCCTGAAATCCAAACAAAGAAGTCAGATACTCTGACATACCTTCTCCTGCTCAATGATCATTACTAACTCTTAGAATAAATGTGACATCAATGGTCACCTGTTGAAATATCCATTTTGTAAGACACATAATAATGTGATTGAATGTATGGAAGAAAATGAAATGAAAATAAATAAATTTAAAAAATTAATATAAAAAAGAAGAAGAAATGTGACTTCTAACCCCATGCCCAGTGCAGTTGTCTTTCTCTGGCAGCTGCCCACCTGTATGCCTTTCAGGCAAAATCTTTACTTTTCTATTAAAACCTTTTTTTCTACTTTATATGTGTTTGTGGTTCTTCATTCTGCGTCTCAGGACAGGTTTCTATCTTAGAGATCTGGACCCAAAGAACCTAGGATTTTACACAAGGCCCCTCATCTTCCCCATCCTATAACAGCACTACCTACAGACGACTCAGTCCCTGCAAGCTACGTTTGAGCAGCACTAAACCTGTCAGTGAGCTGCCATTTTTTCTCAATATGATAGTCTGCCTTTCTGCAAGCTGTTTCTCTCTTCTCACATAAGGTCTACTTCCCAGAGACTGAAGAAGCCTAAATTAAAACAAAAAACCAAACAGAGTCCCTCTGACCCCAATAAAAACCCTTGTTGAAGAATATCAGAAAAGCCTCCTTCATCCTGCTTGGTTTCTATAAATAATCTGTGACCTCATTTAGATAAGGCTGCTTTTTTGGTTGGTTGCTAGGTTACAGATGATCACAGCAGCTAGACTTCAGTCAATTATAGGCATTCTGTCTTTTAAACTGCCTTAAAGTAGACAAACTTCAGAATGGAACCAATCCACATTGTTTTTCTACCTTATTTCTTCACTTTTGTTTTTGTATATCACTTTCCCTTTCTGGAACTTAAAATACTGAGTGACCATGAGGTTACCTGGAGTAGCTCAAAATGCAGTTTGCAAAACTGCCAATTCCAGTAGTGTTAAGATTTACTCAAGTAAACACCACTAAATTAAAATTTACTTAAGTAAGCACCACTTAATTAAATTATCTGTTTTTTTTTTTTTTTTAACACCCTTCTCAGTTTTTCATTGGCAACCCATGTTCTAGGAATCACTCCCTGCTTGGGGCTCTGTTTCTCTGTTTGCTATCCCCTCTCTGTGTCCATATCTCTAATTCTTCATGAGCTCTGGACAAGAATCTATGTCTTGCTGCAGGTGCTAGGCTTAATCACCCCTGCACCCCTATGTGCCCCTGCATCACCCTGAGGTCACCTCAGGTCAGGGAGTTGTAGTAACATAACATAGATCATTGTACAACCTCTTGGTAGCCTAACTACCAGCACTGGGGAAGAAGGGGAGTTGATTCCTGCCAGTGCCACAGATGTAGACAAAGCTAACATCATTTTATGACCAGGAACCCATTATATTAAAAAAAAGAAACTTGGATGTTCTTGTGGTGAATTCCTTTGCAATTCTTCACTTGCAATTTCTTCTCAAGACAGGTACAGATGATTGCCAGAGAAGAGATGCAGGAGAAGTATCCCCTTTCACCATAAGCTCTCTTCTCCCATGGACTGCAACATCAGATGGGAGAACTCTAGCAAGCCAGAACGCTTCTGAGCAGAAAAGATTTCCTGAAGTTCACTAGTTCTAATCAAAGCAGGAAAGAAAGAAATACATACATATTTTCTGGAACAAACACATTCCATCCAGGTAAGATCTCTTATTTTCCAACATCTAACATGTCAGTTTTTTGAAGCTCAGCAAGCAACATGATCATCTGGATGACGGGCCACACAGACCGATGGGTGCTACCCCCGAGGCTCGGAGTCAGCGGCAACAGGGTGGAGCGTGAGAATTTGCAACTTTAACAAGCTTTCAGGTGATGCTGATGCTGCTGGTCAAGGGACTATACTTTGAGAATAGCTGATTTAGTGAAAAGCAAATTTCGTAGCAATCTGAATTTCATAAATTCACAGTTATCACAAAACTTTGACTTGCTATCAATTAAGAATGGAAAAATGGCCATCTTTGAAATAGCTTTTTTCCCCACCTGGATTTAATCAAATTATCAAATGAAACAATTTCTTCTCCTTTCTACCTGGATGCTAGAAAAGATCTAAATGCACTCACCAAGACTGGTCCCCAGGGCAGCTTCCTTTCTAGACTGGGGTCTCTATTCTCTGGTGCACAATGTCCCCTGGGAAGTTGTCACAGCATTTGAGATCCACAAATGACATCTTTGTCATGAAGGCTGGTTTTACTAACAATCACATACATTCCCTAAGAGCGCTGCAGCTTACATTAAGGGAGCTGCCCTTACTAAGCAAGCTCTGTTACAGAATAGTTCAGAAATCTGCCTTTGTGCATGTATTCTCATCTTGCATCTCGTGTTCTGCTTCCCTGCATTCTTTACCATGCCCTGTGCTCAGGAAAGCTAGACTTCATGGACTTCATTAACTGCACCTCTTTGATTTTTTACTTCCAGTGGGCCTGGCCCGTAGGAAATCACTAGTCAGAAATTAGAGTAGGAGGTGAAGGCCATGGTGTGAATTCTAAGCTACCACTATGCTCAGCTTTCAGTTGCCTATGGTTAAGTTTCTCACCAAAGGCCTCTTGAATCCCCTGTCCTAAACCTACAGCGAAGGTCTCTCCAAGTCTGATGACTGTCCCTTTCTCTTGCTCCTGTTGGCCTAGAGGTAACATGTTACCACTGTAGTTGGCACCCCCAGCACCATCTCCTGTTGGTTTCCCTGAACTTGGTCCGCAGCATCTTGAACAGTCCCCTTGTTCCCCCCTAGCCCCCACCTCTCCAGTTACCAGGTGGAGAGTTTCCAGCAGGGTCTTAAGCATTAGCTTCCTCAGGATGATGCCTGCCTGAGAGCTAGTCCTTCAGGAAAGTGAAGGTCAATGAAGCAGAGAAAGCCTTTACCTCATGGTGCTGTGAGATAGCAGGGGCTCAGCAATGTCTTGGCTCAGGCTGAGAGGCTGCCCCAAGGTTCGTCCAGAGTTCTAGAGCATCTCAGATAAGCATGGTGCTTATATATGGCAGGAAGTCCAGGCATTTTTTTCATACTCTCAAGGCCCAGTGAAGTTGACAGGGTTATGTTTTGGTGAAAAACGAAACTCAGAGAGAGAAGGCTGTCTGGGCTTTGATTAGGAATACTTGCTCAGAGAATGTTTGTGAGAAGCGGTCTTGATATGCAAGTCCCTGGCTGGGCACCATGTGGCCCAGGAGATAGAGGATAAGCAGTCCTGTGACGATGTTCAGCGTGAGGAAAGGCCAGTGGAAGAGAGGGATGGATAGTTTCATGAAACCTGTCAGACTCTGTCATCAAGTTTGTTCTGATCACATGTACCCGGCTGACTGGTTCCAGCAATATCTGCAATGGAAGATCCCTGGACCAGAATCTGTGATGGATACTGTAGAGAGGCTTTGTCAATTCGTGGGAGAACGTGGTTGCAGGTAGTTAGGCTTTCTTCTGTGGGGCTGTGTTAGGCAAAATAGTTTTCTCTGGGTTTTGAGAGTCAGCTCACGAGAAAAGTCCCATGTTGCTTACATTCTCGAACAGCATTTGTCTTACTGCTAACTCAGACTACTTTGGAGTCAGCGTGCTAACTATTTGTTGATTTTCACATCTCACCTTCAGTGGTTCAAACAAGCATGATTGAGCTTGTCAGAGAGGAGCATGTTCACATAGTCAGAGAACGTGATGGAACCACTGGAGTCCACAGCACTGTGTGATGTGTCAATGTCAAAATCAAAACCAGGGCCAGCCCCAAGGCCTACTGGTTAAGGGAGCTTGAATTCCACATGGCAGCCATGGTTTGAGTCTCCAGTGGTTTGAAAAACACATTGAGTACCTGTCCATGTGTGCCCATAATCCTGACAGTATGAAGAATTGAAGCAGAAGGAATTTCAGTGTGACCAGACCTCATGGGGAGGGGGTGCTTTCCCCTTATCTCTCTTTGATAAGTGCATCTGCCCTCTGGCAAAAAAATAAATAAATAAATAAAAATAAAAAGTAAGAAAAAATTTAAATCTAACCCTAAATTTACATAATTTCTTGGTTGTCTGGCTTAACTTTATGTTTATCTTACTTCTGCTGTTCTTTAGGTCACCTGTCACAACAAACACCAGTCAGTGAAACAATATTTACATATTTAATAAAAAAACTTTCTATATGAGAAAGACTGATGTCATCACCCACACAATTAATTAGGTGGTTAAAAAGTAAAACTTGGAGAACTGCTCCTCTGCAATCCTCTTGTGAATTATCACTGAGTCATCCTGTAAGTTCCTGTATCTGTTATGTCGGGGTAGGGGCAAAGATAACAGGAAGGGCAGAGACAGCAATTTCCTTTCAAGATAGGGTTACACGCGTCCACGTAACCTAGTCATAATTAGCAAGAGCAAGTGAAGCCTGGCTGTGCTGTTTCTTCTTTGTCCTGGGCCCTTATTGAACTGTATTTCCCAGCCTCCTTATAGTACGGTGTGGTCACATGTCTGAGTTTTGGTTAATGGAAAATGGGCAAATGTTAAGTGTAACAGTTCCAGACTTACTTCAGAAAATGTTCATGCATGGACTTGCATATTATTTTGTGTGTTAGTATGTCTATGTGTACACACGTGAAAGCAACATATTAAAGACAGCGGAGTCAAAAAAAGGTACTTCCATATTATTTTGTGTTAGTATGTCTATGTGTACACACATGAACGCAACATATTAAAGACAGCGGAGTCAAAAAAAGGAAGGAATCTTAGTCCATGAATCACTAGCTGGAGGAGAGTCCACTGCCAGTGAGGAATTTGAGAAGTGTCTATGTTGTTTCCAGTCATATGTCAGGGCTGTTTTTTATGATAATAGCTTGTATTACCATTATTAATAGAGATGATTAGAAAAAGTTAAAATTGTATAGATCTTTTCAAATCTCAGCTATCATAATCTATTCAAATTTAGACTATTTACTTTTGTTGGACCAGAGAGCACTTGAATTCCTTAACTGTAAAACAGAGATAATAGCCAAGACACTAAGAGAAAGAGCCAAGGTTTTCTATCAGATTTGAGGTTGTTAGTAACTATGGGGAGAGTTTATAGAATCAGGACTTTGCTTAGGATTGGATGCTGCTTTTAGGTTAGGAGGGTGTTTAGTAATTTTTACAACCTGTTGGACAATATTCATATTTTTGTCTGTGCTCAGACATGACCACAGAGTGGCCCATCATGGTAAAAGGGTGGCCTTGTTGGTGCTGATGTTCTTCTATTCAATTGTTTCTGTGCTATAGAACACCAGGCCAGCTCTTCTCTTTCTTGTCAGGGAACTTCCGCATTACTGTGCCAATAGACACAGGTGTACCTTTCTAAGACCTGAGATTGTAGATAAGAAGGATGACTCAGAAAAGGACTCTCAAGCAGGACTTTATGCATTTGCAGATGTCTTAGATAAGGTATGCCTGGGAAGGGGTATAGTATCAAATCTCTGTGTGAATTAAACATCTCCTTCTGGGTTTCATTCAAGGAAGGATTTAGGCAACTTGAGATAGACTGCAGCTACCTGTCAACATGAGACAGGTTCCTAAAGGAATGTGTTGGCCCTCTTGATGTCTCGTAAGCACAGGAAATTGTCTATGTGTTCTCCAAACACACCAAAGTTCAAGATCGCCTCAATAGTAAGTGTAGAGTAGTTAGTAAAATCCTCTAACCGTAATAAGAGAGCAGATATGGAGGGCAGAACCATCCATGGGAGCAGACAAGAGGGAAGCAGGTGCAGGCAGGCCTACCGCAGAAGGCTAGTTGGCTTACATGGAAGAATGACTGGCACATACTGTTTCACCCGGGAACGAGCAAACCCGGGCCATTAGAAAGAACCTCCTAGACCTGTCAGGTGACACAACCACCTGGTAATGGAGGGGTCCTCATAGGCATATGCTATCTCACCTATTTTAGAGCAGTGTGCCCTGAGTGTAAGACAGAGGAGTCCCACATAGCACAACCCTTATTGTGCATATGGGTCCAGTGAGGTTTCCACCCCTCTTCCCCAGCTTGGGCACAAAGGGAAATGTCAGGGTGCTGTGTTCTCATTTGCCTTTGTGCACACAGCTTGGTGTTGCCCAGTGGTGAACCGCACTTGGAACCAGAGTGGAATATTATTTGACTTTATTGTTACCGAATGTGTGAACTTGGGTGAGTTGATTCCTTTTCATTCATTCTTTCTTTTTAAAAAATCATTATTTGTTTAATTTACTTATTTTTATTACTATTTAATTTGACCAGAGAGAGACAGAGAGAGAGAAAGAGAGGGAAAGTGAAAAGGCAAGCTACCAGGTCTAGGACTTGAAAACCACGGTCAGCCATATGTAAGTCCGGCGCCTTAACCACCACTCCATCTGCTGGCCCCTAGTTGATTGATTCCATTTCTAAGCTATGTTTACTGACCTGTCAAATCACGATGGTAATTGGACTTCTTCCATGGGGTTGTGGTAAGATAGAAAGTACATCTCATTCGAGCGCGTTCGCTCTCTGGGAGTGTCACTTTCACATGGGGGCAAGTCCTTCCATCTCTCTCCGGTCTGTGCTGACCATCAGCTGTAGTGGCCATTTCTCACTGCAGTTTTCCCCAGACAACGACAAGAGAGATATTTCACATTGTGTCTCTGAATGTACAGCTGCTGGCAAATGAGTGTTCGTTTCTGAGCTTCGGGTCAAGGAAATCTGGATAATCCCACTTTAGGAGATACCTGAGCACAGAGCCTGGCCATACCTCTTGGGCAGCAGACATCCAGGCACTCCCTAGTAGGAACAGACTTGATACGGGGAGAAGAGATTTTGAAAGGGAAATTCCTTTCTCTCAGCTTTCTTTTTCCAGTTCTTATCAAAGGGGAAGCGCCCAGTCAGCCATTTTTTTCAGGCGCAAATATTTTCTGCAAAGCATTAGTGCTAACTCTACTCTGAAGGAAGGGAATGGAAACATAAGCAAATACTGAAATCAATGTTAGGATTGCTGCTTACACTGAGAGCAGTGTGACTTCAGCTTTTTCATGCCCCTAACTATGACTCAGTGATTGCAGGTCAGAGAAATAGCAAGTGTTAATCATATGGCCACTATGAATGTGGCAGCAGTCCTGGTTCTGTGGGGCTCTGGCTCAGCTGATAACTCAGAATCTGGCTCAGTGTGTCCTTGGCATAAACAGACCCATGAACTACACAGGACGTTAGTGAGAGGAAATAGCCTACATAGTGTATAAATACGTGTGTCTGTGTGTTTACAAATAGGAAAGAGCAATGGAAACTAAAGAGGGAAGGCAAAGACTCCTCTTGTAGAAACGAAACTGAAGCACTGCACTGATACCACAGTCAGAATTCTGACCGAAGCTCAGTAGACTTATCATTCTCTGCTCAACCGACTGCACTGTGAGTCCACTGGCAGGATTCTAGAACCAGCTCTGTGTTCAACTGACTATCTGAGTGAGCTTGACTTAAACTCTGAGTGGCTTTAGCAGTTATATTACAAAGGTTGACCTGGAACCAGCTGTGTTGGCTGCTGGTTAAGGCAGCCAGGTCCCACATGGCTAACTGTGTGGTTTGAGTCCCAGACCCGGTGACTGGAGAAACAATGGCAGATGTGGGTGTGTGCATGCCCAAAATCCTGAAAGAAAGATAGAGGAGAAAGGATTGTGGAGTGGTCATCCCCTATGGGGGAGGGGAGTGCTTTCTTCTCTCCTGCTCTCCCTGTCCCTCTCTTTCTCTCTCAGGCAAGTGTATCCACCCTCTAACACACACACACACACACACACACACACACACACACACACACAGGTTGACCTTAAACAGTAGTTTATAGCCCTTTCTACAAACTAGAACAATGTGATGGAACCACACGAGTCCACAGCACTGTGTGATGTGTCGATGTCAAAATCGAAACCAGGGCCAGCCCCGAGGCCTACTGGTTAAGGGAGCTTGAATCCCACATGGCAGCCATGGTTTGAATCGGTTGACCTTAAACAGTAGTTTATAGCCCTTTCTACAAACTAGAACATTCTCTGGCACTCTTTTAAAAAATTATTGATGCTAGGGCTAATTTCCAGTCCAGTGAATGAGAATCTTTGGGAGGCCCTGTATCAGTACTATCAGTAATCTTTTCCTTTTTTCATTGCCAG